TCCATAGCGCTCCCTCCCTCCCATAAATATATATATATATACATATATCTCCCTCTGTACGCGCGTTTATGTAAATAAAATGTAAATAAAAAAAATTCAAATGCACAATGATTGTTTAAGGTATCATTGATTAGTAGAAGTGGGAAAAGCTTGTGAAAGTAAAGAGCAAGATTGTCCCAGTTGAAATTCAAATCTATCCGAATACGAAATATATTAATCACCATCATCTTGAAATTAATATATTGTTTATTGTTTATTGTTTATTGTTTCAAGCGCAACATTTATCGCGTCTAAGAGATATCAATACCTATCAAAGCATATCGCTTATGTAGAAGTATATGAGCGGCCGAAAAACGTCACGATATAAGCAGACTGTGATTTAATGAAATTTAAAGTGAATAAACGTCCTAGTAAAACATAATTAAGGCATTATAAATGTAGTAAATTCGAACCTCGTGTCTGCTCGTCGAGCCTTCCTCTTCAACTACAGAGGATTGGAAAAGGGAGATTACAGCTCTTTTGATGTTAAGCGATGCTTGAGAGTCTCCAGCCTCGGCACACAGCTCTGTGTCAATATGACCATGATGATAGTTGAATTGCAGTGCGTACTTTTCTAGATCATCTTGTGCCACAGCCTAAAATCGACATCAATTCGTTCATTTTACAATGCACTTTCCCATTGGCTGAAGCTAATTAATGAAATTTTTAATCGTGCTCATCTACTTACAGCTCCGTTGACCTGGACGTTCTTCAACCTAAGCTGTCTTACGCAGTCAGGTTTAACGGCCAATTCAACATCTGCTTTGAGCTTGAGATATGCCTCTCCCTGGCCCTCGGTAACCAATGATACCGATCTGCCTTCCAACGCATACGTATACGTCTGTCCTTCTTTGTACGAGTGATCGGAGTGCACTGTAATAGAAGAATCGACGCTTCGGTCAAATGGTTCTTCAAATAAAATACGAATTAATATTTATCTGGTTTAATACTCACTTCCATGACAGCCAACCGTACACCTACCTGAAATTATTGTAAAGAAAAGGCATGATTAAATTAATGAAATAAACGTGCGCTTAATATTAGGCTAAAGGCAGGAAAAACCTTATTATCTATAATTATTTTTAACCATTATCTGATTGAGGACATCCTAATGTTTTTAATTTCTATTTGAAAAATGTATGGGGCAACGCTATTAGCTTGATAAACATAAATATTCGAAAAAACTTAGTAGGCCTCTCGTTCTTGTTAATAATTAAATGGGAAATAAAAATAGTCTCATAAGTGATTGTCAGACGATTAACAACAAACACCAACAACAACAATTTGCCAGAATTATCAATATTATATATGATTTACGCTGGAGCTACGATATAAAGTATATTGATTAAGAAGCAGTTTGTTATTTACAATATTCATGATTCTTAGGATTTTCATTAGCATTATTTAAAAAGAAAAGAATTTTAAAAAAAAAAAAAAAAAAAAAAAAAATAATTTAAGAAAGAAAGAAAGAAGAGGAAAAAATGTATATTCAATAATTGAATATTTCACTAAATTGAGTCACAAAATACATTATTTAAATATAAAAGTGGAGAAGGAGATAAAGTGAAAAACAGAAAATAATTAATCTTATTCGTTGAGTCCAGATAACTCAGAGAACAAAAAATATATTTATGTATTGACAAGAGAAAAGTTCGTGGTGGGGTCGTTACTGATAAAATGATAATCGTCTGGACCCCTTATGACCCGCAATCTGGGAAATTATATTTTTAAGCCAACTGTTAATAACTCACGACAAAAAACCAAAAGAAAAAACAAAAAAACAAAAAAACAAAAATAACAAAAATATAAAAAAAAAAAATGACAGATTGCAAAAATTAAAATTATGTTAAAACAAACGTAAATTTCTAAAGGAAAATACGTGCGGTAATTTAAATTCCGTATTTTTTTTTTTTTTGTTTCTTTTATCTTTATATACGTATTAAATTGTATTCTTCGTATTTATCATTTTAATGAAGAAGGGAAAAAAAATTATCAACTAAATTATAAATAAAAGAATTATCAGAAAGGTTAAAGTTTGCTTAAATGTCAACAAAATTAATTTTGTTAGCTTAAAAAAAAAAAAAAAAAAAAAAAAAACCCCATAAGTACATAAATTTGCCTATGTATTAAAGAAATATTTTTTATATACTATCATCCACTATTGGAATTCCTAGTCATGAGTATTTGCATGTGTACACAATATCCCATACATGTAGTTTATGTAGCTATTACCTAAAGACTAAATAAATATAGAATAATCAATAATTTTAAAGTAATTTTACAATATATATATATATATATATATATATATATATATATATGTATATATAAAATAAAACTAAATAAATAAATAATCTACTGCAACGTCAATTCAATTGAATGAATAAATACAGACTTTATAAACTGACGGATAGTAAAGTGTCAATACGTAATTAGCGAATAATAATTAACACAAAAACGAAAAAATAGTTGTAATAATAACATTCTTGTAATTTAAACAATGCAAATTGTTTGATAGTTATAATCTTATTCGTGAAATATATAAAAGAAAAACCAAATCCGCAGCAGTAAAATTAACGTAATAATCAAATTATATGATTAAGATACGTCTTATCACGCGCGCGCACGCACAAATCTTATGAAAATTAAATTTAAACTTAAAATTATCAAAATTATAGATATTAAATGGATGTTATATGTTTTTCTCATAATAAAGCGCATCCGTAAATGAATACGTAAAATTACAGTGATGAATAAATTATTATGGTATTTTCTATTCAATCGTTAGACTTACAAAGTATTATTATCAAGTGGATACTATAATCGACGATACTAAAAACATTTATTGCCTTTTCTTATGCCTAAGCAGCCCAGAGATATCAGTATTGACCTTCGTTGTCAAGACAAACTTGAAATACTGATGCCCACGGTATTCTCTTATAACACTCTGAGCAAGCAAATTTTCTTCACTTTTATTCTCAATTGACATTATAACTTTTTAAATTCACTTGTCCGATAACATAGAATTTATACTTATCCAAGAAAATATCAGCATTTATATATCATAAACCTTTAAAAAAAAAAAAAAAAAAAAAAAAAAGAAAAGTGTAGCAATGTATTATTACAAATTTTATGCTCCTTGCTGATATTAGAAAGTTTAAAGTCGCAGTCTCGAAATTTATATCGATAATATTAAATTACAAATTCCTTTAAGGCATATTATGCTCGCAAATTAATAAAAATCATTCAACATTAAAAATTTGTTTTCACAAATAATTTACTTTAATATTTCATTTATAATTTATTGTTTATACTGGAAAATACATACATATATATATATATATATATATATATATATATATTTTTTTTTTTTTTCAAAATAAAATGCAATATTAAGATAATATATAGATTTGAAATTTTTATGCGCGTAATGTGACATCTCCATCATTGCAAATACATAATGTTTTTTATAGAAAGCAAAACACATTAATTAACACAAAACAAATAACATTGTTTCTTGCATCAGAAAAGAAAAGTGTATTAATCTTCATAGATGAAATCTTCATAGAGAAAATTCATTTGAAAAATCAACATGATATTTGGAAATATTTCATAAGACATGATTTAGTAATGTATGTTAGATTTCAATGAATAATGTTTAGAATTTTTATAATAATATTACAAATCCTTAATCTTATGAGTATAATTAAGAATAAATTTGTTATATATTTGATTTTTAATATTAATTCACTGATTATTAGACAATCCAGACTTTTCATATAAATATATATATATATATATATATATATTTAAATTTTATACAATAATTAAAATAATTTTATATGATAGTTGCTTTTCTTCCAATTAAATTTCTTTGTTTGCTAAATACAAGATATACGACTCATTAAATGTCGATTAATAAAGCTTTTCGAAATTCACAATAGAAAAGTATTAGTAAATGATCTGTCTTAGCAAAATGTCTAATCGCTCGAGTAGTTACGCTAAAATAAAAGAAACGTAAGGAAAATTTTTATTCATCGCTAGACCTCATTACACTACCGCAAGTGCTAAAAAAGTCTTACAAATAACTAACAATAAATACATGGTAATTTATTGCAATGGAAAATATTTATTGCTCACTATCGCATAATATTAAAATTTAGTAAAAGTATGTACTCGTTCTTACCACAATTTCACTCTTATAATTATAATTCAAACTTCTTACGATTGATAATTATGACAATTGATAAATGTAAAATAACATCAACTTACGAAATATTAATAAGTAATTTATAATTCATATCTCAAGCTATAGAAAAAAAACATGTTTTTTTGATGAAAAAAAAAAATAGAAAATAAATAAATAAATAAAAAGTAAATAAAAATAATAATAATAAAAAATAGTAAAGAAGTTTTAATTGAATTGTACAGTTAAGGCGAACTAATATTTTCTCGTTTCGGACAAGTTTTTTGTTTATAAAATAATCAAGTAAAAGATGATGTAATAATTTATACTAATCTTGAGCCTAACATTTGACATAAGAACTTACGGCGTTAAGATAAGCACGTAATATTTTAGCTCATGACATTAAAATATTAATAAACAATTAGGACAAGGCAATATTGGCATATGGATTGTTTGAAAAAATGATTTTAAAGCGAGAACGCGCGAAGAAGAAAAAAAGCAGCGGCAACAATTATCATTGGTTACTGTCACCTATCAATGATCACATCAATAAATGTGAATTTAATAAAGATGATATACAGGTATCGTTTTGATGGCATTGCGCGGTGAATTGATTTCATCATTTGGTCGTAGGACGGTGTCAAGTCTATCAGTCGAAGAAGGGACGTTAATTTACCGAATGTCCGGTTCAGCGCAGGGGAAGAGTAATCATTTCATTAATACAGGGTTATTGAGTACTCCGCGTCTCTCTCCCTCTCCCTCCCTCCCTCCCCCCCTCTCTCTATCTATCTATCTATCTATCTATCTGTCTCTCTCTCACTCTCACTCTCACTCTCACTCTCACTCTCACTCTTTCTGATACACACGGGCGCGCGCGCTCGCTCGCTCATGAGCTCTCCGTGCCTCTCTCCCACCCTCTCTCTCTCTCTCTCTCTCTCTCTCTCTCATCTTGCGCCTTTTAAAAGTAATACCATTTCTTCTTGCCGGACGTTTTATTTTTCGCGAAGAATTTAAATGCTCTTGACAACATTCCAAAACTTTTACGCAAGAATCGTTGGAGAGGTATTGCGATGAAAAGCTCTTAATTAGGCTCCGTATAAATTCCACCCGCTTGTCCCATTTTTTTCTTCTTCTCCTTCTTCTTAACAATGTTCTATTGAACAATGGAACATTCGTAGTAGATAATGGATAATTTTCGAGAGTTTCTCAAATTCGTGCCTCATTATGGGACGTCTTGTTTAGCGCGAAAACGAAGTACGGGGGTAGTAGAGTCGAATGTATTTAACCATTCGTCCTTCGCAATTTGAGTAATGAGCGGTAAAAAGCTTGAGACTGCATTTTCAATGGAAAAGCTCGGTAAAATTAAGAAATTGAAAGAGCACGGGCTGCGGAACTTATCCCCCCATTATACAGAACTTATAGCTTATGAAAAATAAGCGCTTCCATAAGGTCAACGACCTACTCCCCCAATTACGTTGTGCTTACGAAAAGATGCGACTTTTTAAGCGGCTAAAAATGTATTTGAGGTGGTTGATAAGTTGAGCCGAGAATCGTATAATGAAGAGCATTCGATCGGCTTAAGTAATGCTTAAGTTACCGTGGATGCTCGAAGGATAAATGTTAGTATGTCGGTGATGCACCGAAGAGGCGACGCGTAGCATGAAGTGAAGAAGGACGAGATTTGTAAGCCGAGAAGCGGTGTCGAGGGAAGAAGAGCTTTTTTACCCCCGCAGCATTGAAATCTCTACGACGGCTCGCGAATTGATCGGCTCATAATTAAACAAAGTAAGTAATAGCCTTGGGAGTAGCGAGATAGCGCGCGCGCGCGCATACGCACACACACATACG